AGAGAGAGAGAGAGAGGGTAGAGAAAGAGAGGGGTTGGTTTTTTGGGGAGGGCGCGACGGGAGGAGAGAGAATGGGTAAGGTGGTGGAGAAGAAGAAGAAGAAGAAGAAAGGTCGGCCCTCCCTCTTAGATCTTCAGAAGAGGAAACTCCTCTTAGAACAAGAGCAACAGCAGAAGCTCCAAAAACCCCTGACCAGAAACCCTAACCCTAACCCTAACCCTAATTTCCCTAACCCTAACACCAATTTTATCCGAACCAGGCGCCATTACAAAGCAGCTGAAGAAGCAGAGAAGGCAGAGCAAGAGGAGGAGCAGGAGGAGGAGGAGGAGGAGGAGGAAGATGAAGACGACGATGAGAAGAAGCAGAAGAAGCTTCGCCTTGTTCTCAGATTGCCAAGGTCTTACCAGGCCGGCCATGGAGTTTCAGAGGCAGCCTCTGTATCGGCGTCCAATGATGAATCAGAGGATGGAGAGAAGCCTACAAAGAAGAGGAAGATCGAGGCCTGTAATGGCTCAGCTTCACCTGCTGCCATCGATAATGGTTCAGTCGATGATAAGGTACCCCAATTCCTCGATCTAGGGTTTTCTTCTTCTCTTTTGTGGTAGGGCTTGATCTAGGGTTTTGGATTGGGTTCTTTGAAGAATGGATTTCAGCCGTGTATGACCAGTTCTTGGAATGTTGGGTGCCACAATGTTAGTGTGAGAGGCCAGGATAGTACCCGGTTCTTCAATTTCGGATAAATGATGAATTTGTGATGTTTATGGGCTTGAAATTTTAATACTATTTGAACTTTTTTTTACTGTTGATTTTATTTTGTGGGAGTTAGATGATTTTAACTTTTGTTGACTGTTGATTTTGTTTTGTGTGTGTTAGTGTTTTCAATGGTATGTTAGTTGAGTTTAAGGCTTCATGGGAATTTTCATATACCTGATAATAATTTTGGTTTTTGGAAATGGGATGGTCTTCGGCTAAATTACGTGAAAGACATGGGCTTTCTATATTTAAGTTTATTCTAAATGTTTTTTTAATGCAGATATTACTCTCTTTCGCTCTCTGATTCCGTGCACACATGGAAAGCTGTCAGTTTTCAGCCTTTAACTTGTCTGGATTTTTTGATCCCTCACTTCATTGAGAATCTTTGTCTATTTGGGTGTTACTTATGAACTGGGGTGTCATGATTTCCTATATTTATACTACTTTCCCTCTTTTTTATTTTATTTTTTCATTCTCAAAATTATTTTTTCCCCCCTGTTTGGGTAAATGCATCTTTAGTGGGAGGTGTTACATATGGCAATGGGACCCAGATGCGCAGGCATACCATTATATACTTTTACAATATGTGACAATGGGTTAAATCACTGTTTGAAAATTATACCGTTACTTAATTATTGATAAAAAGATAAAAAATATACTGTTACTTTTGTGTTTTCTCTTGAGTTGTTTCATGTTTGACGTGAGTTTATGGGCTTGAAAACTGTTACTTTTTCACAAACTATTGGGCCTTTTTTATTTCATGGCACTATGCAGTTACTTTTGTACTCAGAGGGGATAGCTATGGGCACTTACGTTCTATTGTAGTTGGTGGTGGTTTCATTTCTTTCTTTGATTTTTTTTGTATTGTAATGCATACATACTTGAAAATGGGTGCTATATTTGCGTTTTGTAATTTGATAACAGGTGTTAAAATCATTGGAATCTGATTGTGTAGCAGATTGTGATAGTTCATTACACTCTATCCCTATATCGTGACATATTGTGATAGTTCGCCTATTGTTTTAGGATGTGGGTTCATTCGTTTTGGATGGGGTGCGATCTCTGTAGGTAAGTGTGTGAATATGAATCTGGTTTTAGGGGGAAAAATCTTGGTCCACTCGTTCTCGAATCCCATATGACTTGCTTTGGCCAGTGTAAATTCGCTCTGTTGATACAATGATTTTACTTTTATAATATCTTTCTTTCGAGGAGTCTTTGTATAAATTTGGCTTTTATTTGGTTATGTGCTGGATGCTTCCATTGGGTACTTCCTGATTGCCTGTCGAAGTGTTTCTATGCTTACATATGGAATTCAAAAACTTTGAGCGTCTTGGTCCTCTTATAGAAAGAAAGTTTGGTTTCTTTATCTGAGAGTTACTTTAATTAATCTGTTTTTTTGGAGTATCTTATTTATTTGTTCTGTTAAATCTTATTTTTTTGGACTGTTTTCTAACTAATCAAACCAATATTTGGGTTGGACTCTTCTAGGGGAAACGAAAAGCTCTTACAGAAAAGGGAACAGATGATCTTCCAGGCAAGGGTTTCATTTATGACATTGTAACAGGGGTTCTGGATGACTTGTAATATATAGTTCTTTGTTTTTTTAAACCAAAAATCTGAACTATCTGATTATGTAGCAGGCACACCTTCAGACTCTGCTGTCACACCTTTACCGGACAAAAAGTTGCTGTTGTTTGTCCTTGACAGGCTTCAAAAGTGTGTGACGAGCCACTTTTCTTTTCTAGAATTTATTGTTCATGCCCTATCCATATTTTTAAAATTTTGTCGCTTGAAATCTTGATGGGTAAAACTTAAGGCGCAAAAAGGTTTCTCAATTTGTATATTTGTTTGGCAGGAAGGACACATATGGGGTATTTTCTGAAGCAGTAGATCCAAATGAGGTGTGTTAATGTTTTTAAACCTTCTAAGTATGAAAGCCAGATTTTGATTTTTTACAACTAAGTTCTTGAGTGATTCTGGGCAGCTTCCTGACTATCATGAAGTTATAGAACATCCTATGGACTTTGGCACTGTCAGAAAGAAGCTTGCTGCTGACGCTTACTCCAATTTGGAGCAATTTGAGGTTTGTGATGTGGAGCTAGTGAATTTTAAGTATTTATTTTGGGTTTAGGTTGCATAAGGCATTTTCACTAGCGAATTGTGACAAATGGATGGAAGTTTTTGACTGGATCTTGTTTGTCCAGTTGCATTGCCAGTGGCTAGTCTTGGTGTTTTGAAAATTTATGATTGAAATGCGTTACACATCTCGCATGCGTCCTTTTCTTGCGTCTATCTCTTAAAAAGTTATGATGATCAACATCTTCTTGCTATACTCTTGTTTTATATTATGAATTGTGATGCTCTGATAACTTTGTACCATTAAGCAATGATGTGCATCTAGTTTCCTGATTTCTTGTTTTTTTTTTTCTTTTCCATCAGTTGGTTATGTAATTCAAAGAAAAAATAACCTATTTTGAACAATCTCCCATGTGAGTTTACAGAGTACCATTCGACACGATTTGTTTAAACCAATGTTGGCTGAAGTAATGGCCAAATTGTTGATATAAGGGTGCACAAATGTCGATCCATGGCGGTGGAAGCTGCAGTGATGTGGGTCAAAAGGAAATCAGCATGGGCACCTTATATACTTGAACTCATTCAAATGACCTCCTCTTATTACTTTAAAAACGAAGATGAATACTTTATCTTCGAAGGAAAGCCCACTGAGTGCTGCTTGTGTTGTCATTGTTGTGGATTTTGCAGAAACTATGAACGCAATGTATTGCTTTAGGACCATTTGATCAATATCACAAATTACTGCCACAGTAACACTACTACAGCACATAACTTTTCGTTTGCCTTTCGGGCTTCCCTTAAGGCAATAATTCTTCTCTTTCTTAGGTCCAAAAGAAAAAAGTGTCCTTTAAGGCCCTGAACCTTCCAAAAGAAAAAAGCGTCCTTTAAGGCCCCTTGCTTTACATGACATGTATCGTCCTGGGACCTACATCTTGCACGTCTTCAGCTAACTTGATCTCTACCTTCGGAAGACCTAGGCTTCTTTACATTTTTGTCCACAGGATATTGAGGGTATTCAGTATAGAGGGTGGTTAGGAGATGGGCAGGGGTTTGGTTTGATGTATGATGTGTGGATTTCAAGTTGGTAGTGTACTTTCTCAATGTATTGAAATGTAGCTTATATCACAATGCTGAAGGTTGAGAATGCTTGAGCAAGGAGTGGGCTAAGTTGTTTGGTTTGTGGCCTTCATTGGTCTTTAAGGATGCGGCAGTAGGGGAACACGTTACCCCCTTGTTGATGGAGTTCTCTCCTTGACCTGCAGGGCTGGTATGGGGTGTCTCAACCACACCCAGGGTTTCTGTTTTTGGAGCGCTGACATCTTGACAGGGGATCATCTTCAGCATCAGCTTTTACAGATACCTGCTTTTTATTTCAATAGAGTAGATGCATAAGCGGTTTACCATAGTTTCATCCATTACAGGATTTGAGTATCTGAGGCTCTCTCTGTACTAAGACCTTTGACATTACTTGGATGGTGCCCTAATCTGTAGGTTCTCTTGTGCCAGTTGGTGCTTACTACTATGGGTTCCCAATTTCATGGTGCAGTGCAGAGTTCTTCGAAGAGACTTATTGTGCTAGTCCAATTTGATATACTTTATAGAATCCAAAGAGGATGTGGATTCTCTGGGTAGGTATGGTGACTTTTTGCATCTCATCATGATTATTATGGGTAAGTATCTATTATTTGGTAAATTATATTGATGATGTTCCTAATATCAGATATAGTCATAGTGTCTCAAGAGGTCCTGTGCTCTTCATCTTTTAGTCTTCAACGACCTGGTCGAAGCCTTTTTTGGAGTTCATAATTTTGTTGGGTAGAGGTGCCTATTTTATGAGCAATAGCTTTTGGGGGATTTGAAACTATGGTGAAGGATATTTTCTGAGGTTTCTTTGGATGCATGTTTGCAGTTTCTATCTGGATTGTGGCATTTGGAGATGCTGTAATCCATTTAAGGAGTCATTGGAGATATTTTAGATTGATATTTGGCGGCGTGTTGGTGGCATTTTGTATTCATTTAGGAAGAATGATGGCTATTAGGAAAGGAGAATGTGATTATAGAGGACTAATGGATTTTCCTGAGGTTCTTTTCTTGGTGTTGGGGGCTGTTGACTTGGATTATTGTGGCTTGGTGCGTCTTTGCTAGAGCTTGTGAGGGGACATATCACTTTGGAAGGAGGCCTTCTTTCAGGTGTGGGCCTGCTGTTGAGCAAGGTCAATGGTTTAGCCCTGTTACCCATCTATGAGAATTACCGTCGTAAATTGAGCTGGTTTAGTGGCTTTTGTTGTTGAAATGCTATTATATGGCGAAGAATATTTGAGTGTTTGATGTTTGAGTATGAATCTGATTTTGTTGCAGGTATCTTCTGGGTATTGGTGGTTTATGTGAGCAGAGAATTAGGATAAGCATTGTTTGAAGGGCTGCAAGACTAACAATTAAAAGTCTAGGATTCAATGCTGTGCTGGGCTAGAGAAGTTTGGTAACATTGGTTTGTTGAAAGGATTGGATCAGCTGTCTCGCTCCCTCTCCCAGGGAGGTGAGACTGAGTATCATAGCTATCCAAAGGTGAAGGTACGGGATGGTCCCTCACTAAAATCAAGTACTTGTGGGTGTCGTTCAGCCTCCTTTCAAGGGAAGGGAGGTCTGAACTTGCTGCACTCCCTCCCTCACTTGCCCCTGACAACGAAGCAAGAATTGAATCAATTACCGCCGGCGGCTGACTCAAGTGCCCCTTGAACCGTGCAAAATGGTCGCCTATTACACAGTTCACTAACTCTACCTGGGGTGGGGATACCTAGTACCTATTATTTGTCGGCGGTCCAGCGCATGCAGGGCCTCGGTTTGCTCCGTGGACTTTCTATGCATTTCCTACAGAGTGGAACCCAGCTCCGCTGAGCCAAAAGGGAGGAACCGCCTGAGGCAGATGAGGAAATCGAGGAAGATAGTTTTGGAGTTTGGTTTCTCGGCATGTCAGGGCTTGAGTGTTACAATGCAGTATTCAAGGTTTTCATTCTAGCTTACCCCGCTGTAAAAGATTCATTTAAGTTGGGTGGGGTTAGAATTTAGATAGAATGAGGTTAACCTTTGCGACTCCCCTTTTAGGTTTTGGCCAAACTTCAGATCTGTGTTATGCGCTCATTGCTTACTCTCAGGTTTTGGCCTGACTTTGGATCTATGTTATGTGCTCATTGCTTACTCTCACGTTTGGCCTTGTTTTGGATCTGTGTTATGTGCTTATTTCTCAATTCGCAGCTGACAACATTATGTTCAAGGCATTAGCATTCTGATAATTTTAGTTATGTATTAGGTTTAATTACTGTAGTCTCATGGCTTTGTTGGACTTGTCTAATGTAGATTATCTTCTATATGCAGAAAGATGTTTTCTTAATCTCCTCAAATGCAATGCGGTACAATGCAGCAGACACAATTTACTTCAGACAGGTAATGAGCAAGCAAACTTAACTCCCCTGTTTTATCTGAGAGAAATCGTAGTTTACTTCCATGGACCATGGGAAGAACATAGCCCACATCGATCAATAATGGATGATGATGATGGAGAATATGATTGGGGGACTCGTTATAATCTGGTGGGTGACCCTATACTCCATCCATCATTTCGATGGACAGTGATCACCTGATAGATTGTGGTTCTTCCACTCCATCCATCATTTCGATGGACAGTGATCACCTGATAGATTGTGGTTCTTCCATTTGTCTGACAATTGTTTTAGCTGATGCATCATAGTGTGCTCCTTCTAGGCACGAACAATTCAAGAATTGGCAAGAAAGAATTTTGAGAATTTAAGGCAAGACTGTGAAGGCACTGAGATGGAGTTGAGGTCTACAAGTAAACCAAAGTCAAGCTCCACAGGTAAGAAGGTTAAGAGGCCAGTGGGCCGACCTCCCTTGCAACATCATGGTGGGTTGGACTTTTCAGTGGAGGCAACTTTGGCCAATGCTGGAGACAACTCTGCCTGGTCAAATATATCTCACAACTCTACAAGAAGGGGAAGTGGTGCTGATAAGTTTGGTTTAGCAGTGAGTCTTGCAAATGCATCAGTGAGAGCCTCACTTGGCCTTCGGGACAGTGATACTTGGTTGGTTGACAGTAGATTGGACAGAATGGAGGAGGGTTCAGGTTTGTGATACTTCAGCATTCTTCCCTGCTTGGTTTTCTCTGAGCTTCTGCATTAGTTGTTTGGGAGTACTACATAATTGGATGGGCCATGGAAAAAGTGTAGACCATCGGGTCATAACTGTCCATTGAAATGACATGTGGTGATGGACAGGGAGCGGGAAGCTCTTCGCACTCTATCTTGACTCTTTGCTTCGAGCTTATTTCATCTGAATACAAGAGTTTTATTTCATTTTTGAAGATGTTGAGATGGCTTTTGATAACTAAAACATGAATCCATAGTTAGAACTTCGGATTGCATTTCAGCTTTCTCTGTAACTGAAATTTTTGTTTTTATGCCGATGTGAAACTTCAAGTTGTTCTTTGAAAAGCCTAAAGAGACTTTTTTGGAAAAAGGTTTCTTATTTAAAATTTTAAAGTGGACAAATTTCAGAGTATTTTGATTGGTATGAGCTTTCAGAATGTCATATCCCGGGTCTTTGGTAAAAGCTTCATATGGTACGGAGTTCTTTTTAATGGACAGTACGGATTTATAATTTGTTTGGAGTTTGTATTGGAGTTTTGAGTTGATGTTTTCCATTTGAATGGCACATTTGGAACTGGAAAATCTGAACCATTGGAATTTTTTGCTTGTGGATTACTCATAAAGCACATCCAAGCATTCCCCCATGTAATTTTATCCAATTTGGACCTTGATTATCTTTTCAGGTTCTTTTCTGAGGGCAAGATTTGGGAGGAAATCCCTTGGGTTGGATGAAAACCGTCGCAGCACTTATATGCTAACCAATCAACAGGCAAGCCGCCATGATTCAGTACTAACTACATTTGATGGGGATCCAAAGCAGCTGCTATTTGTGAGAAATCATGTTCTGCATAGTTTGCATTTCTACTTTAACTTACATAGAATAAAGTTTAGCATTACGCTATGAAGTGTGTGGTATATGGTACTCGAAAGAGGTTTGTTCTCTGACCTCTGGTTGTTGACTTTACTTTTTCCATTGATAGTTCACTTTTGCTGACCTTGGAGCGTGGAGATTAAACATACATGGGTCTGGATTGGGCCTTTCAAATTTTAATCTCCACTTTCCATCAGCAGTACCGTGCAGTGAATATCCCTGTTTGGGGTATATCGACTCTATTTGATCATGATACATTGATACTGAGGACCAACAAAAAACAAAACCAGTATAGCCTTCCACAAAGTGGTCACATGAGCTCCTAATAGGTTTACTTATACAAAGAGGCAAATTTCTCTTATTGGTGGCTGGCTAGTCAATATCTCAAAGAGGAAGTTAAATTTCCATTATTGGTAGCTAATCAATTTCTTGATCAATCATCGATGTTGATTGATCAACAAATTAAGTAGCTTCCCATAAAATGAGAAAGGCAATAGGGAATGTATTTGCATGTGACTTACTATTGAATCTCAAAACCAGGTTGGGCCCCATGTTGAGCACAATTACGCGAGGAGCTTACATCGGTTCGCTGTGGGCATTGGTCCGATCGCTTGGAAGGTAGCTTCTCGCAAGTTGGAGCGCATTCTACCCCCAGGCTCCAAGCTATGGCCCACTGGATCCACCGGGCCCTCCAGACCAGCTGGAACTGCAACCCTAGACCCGAGACCTGCAACCTCAGAAGCCTTACGCGTCCCCAATGAACCCCTGAGAAATGACCAGAATACCCTCACTCACAACCCATCCTCTGATGCCCGCCCTTCCTCAGAGGGCACTGGAGCAAGGGTAAACGGTGGGCATGGCAACTTCTTTGCAGGGTATCATCCAACAAAAGGCCCACAGGTCCATCAACCCACTTTGAATGGGTTCGTTGGCCCAGAAGCCTCTCGCCTTTTGGACATTGTCTCTAAGGGGAACAATGCTAGCTTATTTCAACAGAAGCGGCCGGATTCCAGTGAAAACATCGCCCCTGCGTATCAGGACAATGCAAAATCCAGCGAGTTGGTGCCAATTTCTGGAGGAATGGTATCCAATTCCGGCGAATTGGGTTCCAATTCGAGTCATGAGAAGATTCCATGGCGTAGGCTTTCGTTGAATCAAAAGGGAGGATCTATGGCTCCTGACCTCAATGTGGGGTTTCAGTCGCCGGATTCCGGCGAGTCTCAGCAGCCTGATTTGGCATTGCAGCTTTGAGGAGGGATATTTATTTATGGCATTTTATTTGGCTGAATTGCTGCTTTTGTGGACGTACAAGATGAACGGTCTGGAGGTTGGAGATTGGGATCTCTTATTAGAAGAGAGACTCAATTGTGTTTGAAGGGGAGTGGAGAGAGAGAGAGTAGTTGTACAGTTAGAAGGTGTACCCCATTTATCCGGTCAAGGAAGCAATTTGGCTTTGTAACATCAATCTGAGATTAATGATTATGATGATTTAAAAAGTAGGGGGAGTAGTTGGATGTATTATGCAGAGAAGAAGGCCTTGGAAGTTGGAGGGCGGGCAACTGTAGTCATGGTTGAGGGTGGCCTACTGCCTTGCCTTCTCTCCTGAACCATAGATGAACAATTTGACTTATCAAATAGTAAATACACATTTTCGGATCTTCGTGTTTCCTTTTTTTTGTCTTTAAAGAATATGGTCTGCTATTTGTTTTTTTTTTTTCAATTATTGGAAAATATATTCCTCTCTCTGAACTAGTAAGCATGGAGCAAGAGTCTAGTAATTTCATTTAACTGGACACCATAATACTGGGCAACGAGAAGCCTACCAATGAAATCAAAGTTTAGAGGGGTGGGAGAGAGGAAGGTGATCGGAAGAACCTGCGAGAGAAAAGGGTGGTATTAACTTTTTTTTAAAAAAAGAGAAAATGGTAATATTAACATTATAAGATTTGACCAGTGGTTTAAAAATCGTTAAGTTGGTATGAAATCGGCCGATTCGATCCGATTCTCGATTATTGGGTAAGTTGCTTTGTAGTGAATTGTACGATTTCAAAATTTAGCTCTGAAATTTTTTAAAAAGCTGATACAAATTTAGCTCGGAAATTTTTTAAAAAGCTGATAAGGGAGCTAAAAGGTTGTGGGCATTAAACCTAATACAAGTGCACAACACGTCACTAAAAAAGATCTCAACAAAACACATTCCAAACACCTGCTTCGCGCAAAAGATCTCCCTCGCCAAAGACAAACCATTTATACAACCCACTTTTTCTTTAAAACTTCAATATGGGATAATTCTCATTTGGCAGGGATTAAGATAACTCATCCGGGGCTATTTCCGATAGTTAACTAAAAACAAGGGCAAATAGGTAACGTACATTTTAAAGGCGACACACGCATTGGACGGCTCAATATGGGGAGTTGAAACCCCAACACTCTAAATTTCGCCTATCACTCGCACGCCAACCACGAAACCCTAAAAAACTAAACCCCTCCTTGGCGATGCCACGTCCCCGCGTGCAAAACTATCGCATCTGCACGTACGACTCTCGCTCTCATAATGGTGTATAAATTAAATATTTTTTGAATAGATCTCTCTCCTATACAATGACATCCATCAAATGAAATGGTTTAAAATACTTCTTAACATTAATTATATTTATTTATTTTTAATATTTAATTTTTTAAAAAATTAATTATATATATATATATATATTATTATGATATAGAAACATAAAGTACATATAATTAATATTTAATTACATAATAAAATTCTATATAATAATTTACAACAATTAACATAAATATATGAAATTGTTGTTTGTTTATGTTAATAACTTAAATATAATTATGTTAAATTTATGACAATATAATTATTTTTATATACACTAATTTTCTTAAAAATTATATGAAATTTTTTTTCTATTATTTGTAAATTATTTTGATGTAATATTGTAATAATATATTATAATTAATATTATAATCAAGAATTTAAAAAACGGTGAGTAGATCCGGTGGTGGTAATTAAATTATATGATAAAATATATATATTAAAAATAATAATTGGATGCTCACCACCCCTATCTTCTACCTACAAAAATCTAAATTTACCTACCCAAATAAAACATCAAAACTCTATTAAGATATTATCTCATGGGATTATTTCATTATATGATTAATAATTAATTAAGTAGTTAATTTAGATTAAAATTTAATACTAGCTCAATGGATATTAAGAAAACAAAAAATAATATTAATTCTAGTATATTGAATATTAAAAAATATTAGTTTAGATGATATTTTAAGAGAGAAAAATAACACTAATTTATACCACTTCCGAATTTATTTCTACATTGATAACCAAATCTTTTAGTTTATTTATTTTAATTTATTTGCATTATAAATTATGTATTGTACTATTTTTTCTTACAAGTGTCAGTAATACATTTTAAATTAGATGATATTTTAAGATGTTTTGGATTTGTTATTATTTGTATAATAAAACAACTATAAAGTGTAAACCATCAATTTCAATTTCATTATATAATATTATAATTAGTTAAATTGTAATAATTTTTAACGAATCAGGGTTTTTCGCCAATTCGAGATTTTGGTGGCCATTTTTTCATCGATTTAATCTGTTCTTTATTGTAGTCCATGTATGATTATATACTTCATTCGTGATAATTCTATGATTTTTCTTGTGTCATGTAAATTTAGTGATAAACATAAGTTCATACAGGGGAAGAACATCTCAATATTAGTATATTGATGGAAAAAATGAAAGTTTATAGTGTAGTTCCCCAATTCTTATTTGGATTCCTAAAAATCAACATTTATAATGAATTTTAATAATTTTTTTGAACTTTTTTAAGGCTTAATTATACCGATTCAGCCAATTTTCGATCCGAGTGGGTTTTTGGAGTGCCCGATCCAGCGCCCCGATTCATTTTTTAAACCAATGGATTTGACATTGAAAAACTTTAACCCAAAAAAAAAAAAGAAAAAAAAAAAGAGAAGAGTGTGCAATGAACGACTGGCAACATGCTTAGGCTGGGGCACCCATGGCCTTGGCTCGGTAAAAGATCGGCTCCAGCCCAGCCATGCCCCAACCGGGTCAAAGATAGAGCTAGGCTTAGCCTAACAGAATCAAGAAAAATAAGAAGAAAGGGAAGGCAACGGGCCTATGCTAGGCCCTAACCAGGTCAAAGATAGAGCTGGGCGGAGCCAAACAGAATCAAGAAAAAAAATAATAAGAAAGGGAAGGGCCGCTGGACCTGGCCGGTCTTGTTATGACCCGGGTCTAGCCCAACTATACCTCGGGCCACAGGAAAAAATGGGCCTAGTTTTTGAGAGCCACTCGGGGCCACAGGAGAGAGAGTATTGAAGGTTAAAAAAAAAAAAAATCTAAAAGACGCTGGATAAAAGACGTCATCCCAAGATTAGAGTTATGTTGGTTATGACGGATTAATATTAGTATGGGTCTCATCTAAGTGCCATGCATGGTTGCCACTTCTCCTTTAGTTGCAATAAATAATCATAATTAATATCAGAATTATCTCGGAATTGATTTTCCTATAAATTATTAACCCGTAGAAAAATCCAAAGGGGGTGGTGTCACATGCATGTCGTGAATGGGTACCAAATAACAGGCAACAGGACAAAAGCCCTTCATTTTTCATTTATCTACTATTTCTCTTTAATTTAAACTTTAAAATATGCACTTAGTTTTTTTATTTTATTTTTTCTTGAATTTGTATTTTGAAGAGCTATTTTGTTTGAAATAACCAGAATACCCTTCTTGCTTCTTTTGTCTCATAGCTTGTGTTATAACTTGTGTTCCTAAGAATAAGAGCAGTTTGGCAATACAAGTCATTAAAAAGGGTTAGTTGCTTTTATAACAACTTTTTATTTATTTTTGGTAAGGTGTATAGATGTAGCAGTTGTTTAGTAGTTAATAGAAAAATTATTAAAAATATATTTTAATTTTTGTTAAATTAAAAACAATTATCAACTTTCATTAATCTCGTATATATATATATATATATATATATATTTTATTTTTAATTTTTTAAAAAAAAAAATTTGACATTTTTTTTATCAAAATAGCTTTGACGGAAGTGGTGTATTACGGTAATGAGTACGATGCTCTAAGACATGGACTTTACGATAATATCACTGTGTTATTTTGGTTAAAAAAAAAATGTAGCTCTTGGTTTTTCATTTGGAAAAGACTGATCCATGCAGAGATATTGAGAGAGAGAACAAAATGTAGTTAGGCTTTTAGTCACATTCAGGCGCTGTTGTTATTTGATGGAGTAGGTAGAGAGGGAGAGAGGATAATCGATCAATGATGATCATGTTTTTCACATGGACTCATTTGCCACCCTTCCTCTCCGTGCTCTTGCAGTCTTCAGGAATGTCCTCAACGAAGGTGAGAGAGAGAGAGGTTCTTTTTCATTTGGATTCATTAGGGAGAGAGCTTCATTTTCATTTGGATTCTTTCTTGTGATGATCTAGAGGAACTCTCCATCGTCGTGAATTTTTTTCGCGATCCTGGAGAGAGAGATTCATTGTTAATGATCTGTTTTTTATGATAGAGAGCTTTGTTTATGTTTTATAGGAAGTGAGAGAAGGAGGAGAGGGAAAAAGGGCTTCATTCTGGTTGATTTATTACTTTTTTTTTTTTTGTTTGAGCGTTGATTCATTCTCATTGATTTGTACTGTGATGAGAGAGAGGAAGAGCTTGTGTTATCGTGGTTTTCAGAGAGAGAGCTTCATTTTCATTGGTTTGTTCTGTGATGAGAGAGGGCCCTGTTTCCACGGGTTTTTGTTTTTTTTTTTTTGGGGGGGAGGGGGGGGAGGGGGGGAAGGAGAGAGAGAGGCTCGTTACTTTGATTTCTTGACCAATTTGTCCTTCTGTTTCTTGCTTTGTGGTAATGGTGATTTCGGGTGATGATTTCAGAGCTTGTGAAGAGCGTTCATGTCTACCTGTGCGAGAACGGGAAGGAAATTACAGTGGAGAGGGAGTTCATGTTTTGCCCCAATTCATACAAGCAAATGACCCCTATTCCCAACCTTGTTCATGGCTCCTCTGGCTTTAATATTCATATCTTTAACAATGTTGGGGCCATTGTTGAAGCCATTAGAGAAGGGCAACAGGTTGGCTTATGGCTTTGTATCCTCCTCTTCAATTCTCATCACCCACCTGTTTCTTCTCCACTCCCCGCCCTCCTCACCATTTCCAGGTATTGACTCTCTCTCTCTCTATTTAAGCTATTGAGTGAACTTCACCAGATGGGGTTATTCCTTTTCTTGCCCTCTCTCTCTCCTCTCTCTCTCTCTCTCTCTCTCTCTCTCTCTCTCTCCATTTAAGCTATTGAGTGAACTTCACCAGAGGAATATCTCAAACGGTGTTGATTCTTTATCTCTTCTTCTTTCCCAACATTTCCTTTCTCATCTTCTTTTTCCTTTTTTCTGATTTTAGTTGGGAAATATTGCTTCAGTTTGCAATAATTTGTAATGTAAAAGTTGTGGATTCATGAGGACTTTGGCATTTAACAAACGGAGTAAGAGGTAGAGAAAATTGTTTCATTTGGGCCCCTTGTCCTTTTTTTCCTATTCATTATCTTTGTTTTTAGTTTTTTAATTGTAGTTTTTTTTTTTTCTAAAATTGGTGGGCTTTATGAAATGTCACTGTGGATGGTAAGTAATGCTGTCGAAGTGGGGATCAAAGAGGTGCTGTTAAGAAATGGATTATTTAGAATACTAGAATATCTTCTCATTTGATAGGTAATGAGCTCTTAGTTATAATTATATTGAATGTACCTGCTCACGTAGGTATTTGTTTTTCTGTATTGACTGTGTGTATGCATGTGTTTGGTTGCTATTTTTTTCTATCATAATAACATTTTCCTGTTATGTGGTGTTCTACTTTCTTACTTTTTCTTGTCATTTATGTAATCTGGTTGCTTTGCTTGGGGAATTCTCAAAATCAATCCCCTCAAGAATGGTAGCGCTTTGTTTTCTCTTTTTTGGATTTTATGATTTATTTTCTTCTCTTGATTACTAAGTGGTTCTGTTTTGTCTTCAAAACGGTTTTGGCTTTTGGGTTGTTGCTTTGAGTGATTTTTTTAATCAGCTTGCGAAAAGGAAATCTGTAATGGTATGATGGTCTATGACTTTTTTAAATGCATCGCGTCTGTTTTGGTGTTTTATTTTTGGCCGACGCATTGCTTGCCAGAGTCCTCATTTAGATTATTTGTTCTGCTAAGTATTTACTGTTTCATTTAGGGATGAAATGTTTACTGCAATTTGAACTTAGTTAATTTACTGGATTTGTAATGTTCCATTAATGCGCTATAACTGTTTAGATGGTTTTATGTTCAGTTGTTAACTTATTTTCTTTCTTGGATTGATAGGATCAAAATTATCTGTTTACACGTTATGAATTTTGTGCCACAAATTCCTGAAGAAGTTTTCATCTGTTTTGAAATTTATTCCTCTTTCTAGATGATTATGTATGTCCATCCATTGAAAGTGAAAGCTCTAAGGCTGTCAATCTATTGGTCGAAAATAATATATTCCTGCATTTGGTGCTATTTATTTGAAGGGACCTTTTCAAGGAGGTTTATTAATTCATTAGCCTGCTGCTAGGTTGGAAGTTGTTAGCACATGGGGAAGAATGAGAATTTTCTTTAATTGAATCCTTTTATCTCTGCATTTACACTGGAGTTACAAATTTATTTTCAAGCCAATTGGTCTGATCTCCTAGTTGCTGTAATAGAACCCAAAGAACCACATTTGTGGCTAAACAAGCTGCATATACTTCAATAGAGATGGGCATATCATCAACTCACTTTTGCTTTCCTGGTTTTATGGCTTTCTAATTCTTTTCTAGTTCCTGAATTTGTCAACATTCTTGTTTGTACACTTGCCATTTATGACTGTCATCCCTTTACTAATGAAAGGCAGTCTCAGAAACCTTAAAGTTAGTCAGATTATCTGCCTTAACAGTACAATGGTCCTGCAAGGCTTGCGAGAAAAAGCTCTGCATAAATTCGTAGCCCTAACCAGTCTGTGAACAATGTATTATTCATCAAACATGTAGAATATTAGCCTGTCTTTTGTATTTTCCCTCTAAACTATACATCTTATGTAAGCATTGTAAATGTCAACACTAAACAGTGGCATCTTAAATTATTTGATATGAAGTTTAAAGTATAGGCATTTATTCTCATTAATCAAAGGATGGAAGGCTTGATGGACACCTTACTTTGCATGTCCGATTGATGTTCTTCTGTGTTGGACAATGCTTATGCCATTTCATCAAGAGTAATACTTTCTGATTTGTTCAGACAATCAATGGCTCATGAAGGTAAATCTTGTAGGTTTTCCAATCTTCTCATCAAAACCTAGCACTTTAGACTCATGCCAATGGGCTTAATATCTTGAGGAAGAATTAGTTGTTTTTCGTTTTTGGTGGAAGGGGAGAACTATTATTGTACAAAAAATGGAATTTGAGCTATTAAATGTGAACCTTTGAAGATTTTCCATTATTGTTTGTTGACGCAAGGGACCTATATCAAGAAACATGATATAATTCAAAGAAAATGGTATTCTTCTAAGACGTTGTTTATGAAACTAGTTCACAATTGCTCCCTATGCAGATGCTAGATCCCTAGAAGGTTTTCTCTTGGCACGTAAATCTTGTGACTTATTCACCCAAAGTAAAACACAGAAGTACAGAAAATTGACATAACAAATGTGGCAGTAAATCTTGTTATAGTGAGCATATTCAGTTCCCCTTTTTCTTTTTATTTCCTCATGCAGATGTGGGAAATAAAACTGTTTTGAATTAAAATGGTGAATGCTTTAGCTTTGTTCCATGACGGCTATGTAATCAGAAAACAGCATGTATTTTCCAATATAAATGATTATGCTTAGGATTTGTATGCAAAAGCAGACTACATGGATACTTGTGTAAATTGTGGATATCTTAAGAGCTTGGGGATAATTGAGAATTTTTTTTTACATTTGTGTAAGTTTTGAAATTTAGTTCTATTGTGTTTTACCTTACTGCCCAGTGTTCTGAAAACAGTTCCTGGGTACTTTTCCTGTTCTCCCTGTTGCTTATTTTATAATCATTAACATCTGCTGTTCTTGCAGGAATCCTAAATTAAAATCAATACCAACATTAGCCAACGATCTTCAAAAGGTTTCTGAGTTCAGATGTGCAATTGAAGATGAAGAAGTCAATACATTTGACCGTCAGGAATCAACTAGAGTTTATGAATTTAATTTTTTTGATAAATCACAAATTGCGCCTGTTGTTCACACAGTTCCATCACCTTCTTCATTTGCCGAAGGTCTGTCTAAGATTCAGCATATTGGGAACTCAATACCAGGTTTGCATCTTTTTTCCTAGCTATGCTTCATCTGTGATCTTTTTTGCGCCTTTTTCTGTTTCACTGTTGTTTCCCTCCTAAGCGTAGTTTAGAGTCAATTTCTAAAGTAAAAAAAGATGCAAAATAATCTACTTAAAAAATAATATTTTAGTCATTCATCATGGTGAAAAAAAGGAAGAAAAGAAATTGTGCAGAGTAACTTTGTTTCCCTTAAAATCACACTGAATGACCATGGTAATCATCTGGACCAGTTTTGATCGTGTTGTCCTGTATATGTTTTTTGGTTCACCTTAGCTCTGAATGGCAGTTGGGATTGTTTACTGTGACTCGTGGTAGTCAAATATATTTTAGTAAATTCTTGTTCCCTAGAGGTATTTTGCATCATGTTGCTTGGTATTCTTGTCATTTCATTGCCCTGGGGCTAAGGATGAAGCCAATATTGCTGCAACTTGATGGGATTTTCAAATTTTCTCCCAACCTTGGGCTGTTCGAAATATTAGGAAGTTTGAAATTCTGATTAGGTTTCCCTTAATAGTGAAATCCAATTCATTTTGGTTGTCATGCAAAAACTCCAACAACCTGTTTTACAGGTTTAAAGAAAATCTCAATGTCTTGAATATGTTGCTTGGACAAGCTATCTCGGTTTCTCTTTTCTAATTTTGGTTATGCTTGTTATAGTCAGAAATAAGGTTTGGAAAAATAGAGCCCCAACCAAGCATGTTGCAAGCATCGCTCTTTCTGATCTTTCCAAGCACTTCAATGTCCCCATGGCTGAAGCGTCGAGGAACTTGAAGGTGGGCCTCACCGTTCTCAAGAGGAAATGCAGAGAATTTGGGATACCTCGATGGCCTCATCGTAAGATCAAATCACTTGACAGTCTCATACATGATCTCCAGGTATTTTCCCTGTTTTCCTACTCATTGTCTGTTGAAATTTGTTTCTTGTCTTACCCAAATAAACAAAAACATGAAGGAAAATTGATATATCCTCTCTCGCTCTATCTCTCTGTGTGGTTTGGAAAGTTTTCTGTCCGTATGTTGGGGATTCAAATATGATTCACCTAGAAATAATATTGGTATCATAAATACATTTCGAGGAGTAATTTCGGTACTTTTGAGGTCCATCTCAAATGCTGAACCTGTGACTGGCATTTTGCAAAAATCAGTTGTAATTTATGATTTTCATAACTACGTCCAAAAAGCTCATGCACTCATACAACTTTGTTCCCAAACCAGTCTTGTGGTCCTGAGAACTCTTTAACTAATTTTGCTTTTAAGCTGGTTTTCATTTCCTAAGAACTCAGCAGTGTCAGAAAATTCTTGAAAGTATGATTAGTCATTGGCAATACTAACCACAGGGACAGACTGGTGATTAGTGTAAATCACCTCCCCCCCTCCCCCCCCTTTTTCTCTATCTCAAATTAGAACTCATGCATGGACAGGACGAGGTGAAGCGACAGGAGCGAGAGAATGAGGCAGCAGCCAAAGCTGCAACAAAGAGGAGAAAGCTGTTGGAAAGAGAGAGGGAGACCATTGAGAGGAGGCCAGCTTCGGAGATTCAGAGTGAGACGAAGAGATTCAGGCAGGATGTGTTTAAGAGGAGGCACAAGGCCAAGGCTCTCTCCAACAAAGTAGCAACTTCCCTGAGGATATAAATCTCGACAAGCCCCATAGCCAACCCAACAGAGTCTCTCGTCTTATAGTACTTTTAACCAAGAAGTACACTAGCAATTGTAGGTAGTAAGGGGGAAAAAAGGAAAAGAAACAGACCCTCCGAGTTCAATTTGGTATGTAAGTTGTATATTTCTCTTTAGCATGTAAGTTGTACATAAAATATCTAAAGCAAATATCGCAACACCGGATTTGACAACAAAAACTTCTCTCTCAAACACTATTTTTGGCCAAGTACACTTGATATTTAGGTAGCAAAGGCACAAAAGAAAAAGGAAAAAAGAATACACTGCAAATTGTTCGAAGAATGCTTTTCTTTTTATTATATAAATTTGTACTTAAGAGACATAGGCTGGAAAGTCATCCATGCACTAAATTCCTTCCAATTTCTAAGCTATTATATAAAAAGAAAAAGAAAAATATCAAGAAAGTGAGTTAAAAATCTCACATTATTGATGCTCTGAATCCAAAAGAATCGCAAATCAAAAGAAAAAACCCAGTGAATGCTACACAAAAACACCAGGGTTTTTTCTCTGTACATGATGCTTATGAATAACCATATACAACTCCAGAAAAACCAGAAACAACACAAAAAAGGAAGCAAGAAAACCCATGTTTTCCCTATCATTATTATTCTTCCCATGCCATGCTATACCCAGTTTTGCTCTCTTCACCAAACCATCTCTTACTCAAAATTTGAAGCCTCCTGTCCCTTACTTCACAAAAGCTTTGAGCCCACCCTTCTGGTTCTATGGCTGAATTATCAAGACCAGGTGTTCGATCTTTCGACCGCAAGTTCTTATTTGTTGTCCAATCTACTACATAGGTAGAAACCCTTCTTCTAAACTTGGTTTTAAACTCACTCCAAGCTTGGTATTTGTAATGGTTGACTACAAATTCTGAAAGTCCAAGCTTTTTGCTCTTGAACCCAGGTTTGAGCTCGAAATGGTGTACTTTAGTGAACAAAGAAGGAGCAATGGCCTTTAATTGAACTACGGATTTGTGTCTTTGGATCCTCCTTCCCCTGCAATCGTAGCCTTGCATCAAGCCCTTCAACGGATGGGTGGTCTGGTTCGATGGCCCAAAATCTAAGCAATTAATGGAGATTTGCCCAATTCTTGATGAATTATCTTGGGTTTGTTTCAGCAATGGCTGGAGAGCGTTTCTAGGGTCTTGAAGGTTCCCCCACTTTGGCGAGAACACAAATTCATCGACATCAGTGAACAACATCCACTCACAAGAGTCCATGGTGGATTGAGCACAGTGTGAGAAACCAGCCTCTTGGGTTTTTGGCCATGGCCAAACCCTTCTGGTTATTCCGTAACCCTGGTTTTCAAGCTCCATTAAAACGTTGTGTGTGTTATCATCGCTCAGGTTATCATAGAAATAGAAGTGCTCAACTCCTATAAACGAATGATACATAACCCACTCCTTCAAAAACTTCCCGGCATTAAAAACCATTGTGCACGCACACAAAAGCGGTTTGCCGGTGAATTGTTTGGTCGGCAAACTGGTTTGCGGGGAAAGAGGCTGGTAAATGGCCACCGAAGGTATGATGCGGCCACCTATATCTAGGGTTACAATCTCACCGGATATTTGTGGCGAAATATCACGGCGAGGTTTTTGGCACCGGAAAACCTCTTGTGAGGAACTCAAAACCCTAGTTCGTACACCACCAGAAAATACACAGGCGAGCTCTCTAGCAGGAAAATTGACGCCTTGTCGACTGTTAATCCCTTTCGCAAACAACATCACGTCCTCTTTAGTAGTTAAGGTGTCATAGACTACGAAGTTCCATCTTGCCAATTCCGGCGAGTCTTGACCGGATAAATCGTCGGGAAACTCACCAGATAACACGAGTTTGGGCTGCTTAAAGGGCCTGATACGCCGGAGTTTTGCTGGAACACTGCAACGGACAGCAATACGATAGCCGGGAAAAAGTTTCCCGGCTGGTCTTGCAGGAGTCCAGAGCCCGTCCTGAAACATGCAACTGAGACCGGAATCGCGGGGTAAGTTGTTTTCCGTCGAAGTCTCCAGCGTGAAGAGGACCAAGACCTCCCATTCTGGCAAGAGAAGGGCGGTCTCAGGCGCTTTCCGTCCAAGTTCTTCCTGTCCTTGAAACTCGAAGACTAAGCTTTGCTCCCCCGTGCCACGGATTACGATTAAATTTCCCGGTTCGTTTTGGCCGAGAAAAGAAGACTTGAGTAAAGGAATATAGAGGATAAAAGCTAAAGTTGAAGCAAAAAGGACCATAAAAAGCGGGGTTTTGATTTTCCGCGACATAATTCCGGCCATTTATTGAGTTTCAGAGTATGATTTAAGAAGGGGGAAAATGGTTTTATAACTTTATTCGTTAGCATGATGCTTTACGATCGGGACTGAGGGGTAGTTTGGGGGTTATAAAGTTTGGTCAGATTTCCGGGCAAGTTTTGGTGGCGGCCTTTCGTGAGGGCGGCGTTAACTGGCTTGGTCAAGTGCCGGGAAAAGTCTACGCCATCGCTCATTCCACAATTTTACCCTTACCTTTTTAGAAATGCCAATGAAAAAGACCCCGATAGTTTTTTCTTATTCGTTGCTTTTCTAATTCCTTATTCTGAAAATGGCCATATTACCCCTGAACTTCGAATCAAATTCGTACGCAGCCCCCATATTTGCCGCCGTGGTATTTAAGGAACGGGCTACCGTATGAGGGTATTTTCGTCTTTTTCGAATTATTAGTTTCTTTACGGGGACTTGGGTTCAAGGAAGGCAAGATGAGTCTTTTTTGGTATTTTATTTGGAAGTCATTTGGGCTTGTGCTCGTCTCTTTATATTTGTTTGCTGTAGTTTCCTTTTGGACTTCGAAGTTTACTATTTAGAATCTTATTTTTTAAATAATTTTATAATACAGAGTGCGCAAATAATTGATTTTTTTTAGAAAATACTAAATACAGGTTATTTATGGTGTCAATTATAAGTAATCAAAGTAAGCTGCACCTTTGAAGTATGGCAACGAGGCAGTTCCGGCATTAGAAACTCTTACTATGGCTTGAAAAACAAAACAATTTTTATCTATAATTATATAATTTAAAGCTCTAGAGATAGTGGGCATGGTCTAAATAATGTGCTATAAGATGTAGTGCACACTGTCTAAATAATTTGTTATAAGATGTACTGATTTTAGAGTTTGAATTTTTATTCTTTCATGCCCATACATTTCGATTTCGATGATCAATTAGAGGTCTTGTTTTTTGTTTTTTGTTTTTTCTTTTCAAAAGTGAGTCAGTGGGGAGAGGGCCCCTAACCTTGGTAGGAAATGAGCCTAGGACGTATCGTTGCAAATCGTGAAGCGCTAACTAATTCTTTTCCTCAATTAGAGGTTGCTCCAGCATTGAAATGACCTTAGTTTTTAATATGCCTGTATAAATTTGATGCGACTTTTTTCTGTGTAATAACAATACCATGGTTTGGTATTGAGAGTCTCTTTTATTTTTGTAATATCATATTTCTCTCCAACTATTTGATAAAAAATAATTTGTTTTTATTTCCCATATTGATAAGCAAAAGATATATTTAGTTCGTCAGAGTCATCGTCAATGGCCTATTTTTTTCTCCTACCGGTTTGAAATGAGCATCTCTATCTTTCTTTCCAGTAGTGTGCAGTGTAAACCAAGGAAAAGCGAGTGGAGTTGGAGTGTTTCAAAGGGACGATAACGAGAGTAAAGAGAGTGGAATGTTTCAAAGGGATGACAGCGAGAGGAGTGGAATTATCCATAAATACAGCTTAAATTTATAAACTCATAAATAAATAAATAAAATAGGGGAGGTCTTGCCCCAAAACACTACACTGTCTCATGCTACAGAGTTCGGCAAAAACATTTCAGGATTCAAAATCTGTTTTCTCTCTCTCTCTCTCTCTCTCTCTCTCTCTCTCT